AATCTTAATCTGAAAATATGTATGTAATTGAACATAATTTTATGTCAAGCTTATCTATATATTATATTCACTAAACTAGTCGATGGTAATTTAAATAATTAAACGTTCACCAATTTCCATTATTAAATTAATCTTAAATAGGTAGTAGGTACTAATGTTTGCTATAAGCATAATAAAGTTTGACATAAAATTATGTTCAATATATTTTGTATTCCTTAAAATTGTTCTCGTTATTTAAACAATGTAATGTTTATAATAACTCATGTACCTACTACAATACTATACCTACCTATCGGTATAGGAACTATGTCCTATATACTTAGTCATAATTCGATAATACCTACTAATAATTTTAAAGATTTTAAATGTCTTTATTTCACTTGAAAAATGTTCTAAATATTATAATCATTATAATAACTATTATATAACTTATAAACTATAAAGTTATAAATATATAATATTTAATATTTACCTTACCTTTTACGATGTTTACTGATGACATTTTTATATTTTTCGTTCAAACAGTCATTTAAATGTTGATTGAAATTAGGATGACTTGTTGTTATCTGTGAACGCATTGTAAATAATTAATAACACCAATAATTAAAATCGAAATATGTGCACTATGAGTAACCATGTGGATAATTGAAATAAACAGAGCACTTCCATTTGTGAATGTTAACCATGAATTGAAACGATATTTTTAATGTGTTTGATGTTGGATGTATGATAAATTAATCATAAATTGAAGTTTGCACAATTTCACTAGGTGCCTACTACAATTCCACCACCACTAACGGCACTAACAAAATAAAGATATTAATGACATTATTAATTGTGAGTTGATAAGGTTAATCTAAGTAATTGGATTTTCCGTAATGTTTACAGGTACATGAAAAAAATGTAAATAATAAGTTATCCAAGAATACTTTAATAATATAAACTCAATTTTTTTTACTCAGTACGTTAATATCTTAAATATGAATTTACATTAATTTATCTGATATTCAGCACATAATATATTTATAAATAAATGTTCATTAAAAATTATCCTATTCGTATATTTAAAGAATATTTTTATGAAATGTACGTAAGATGAATATTCTAATACGTATTTAAAGATGGATGAAATATTTAAATGTTTAGTTACGGGGTCAACTGCCCTGTCTAAATGTCAAAAAAGCATTATAATATTGTAATTTAATCTTTTTTTAAAAATATAATATTTAACGTGGTACAAACATTTTTCAATAAGCTTATGAAATTTTTATTAGAGTACCTGCCATATTTTCTATACGCATTTTATACAAACTCATATTTTATAATTAAAAAAACCAAATATATTTATATTTACTACGTATAATGTATATAATAATATATTACATTTTTTCACCGAAATATCAAGTTTTTCTAACATCTAAGTATTACTTATTGACTTTTTATACCAATTATAATTCTTACTTCTTAGGATTTTTTACTTTCTGGATTATTTATATTTTATAATATTATCAAATACTAACATTTGGAAATCAATTTATTTTGACATTTTATGATTATATAATAATTTTGTCTGAAATTCCTGGACTGTATATTAATTTATTGTTTTATACATTTTCTTACAAGTATAATGATATAATATCTAAATAAACATTATAAAGTATAATTTAAAATTTAAAACTCATTTATTGTATAAAAAATATTAAATAGTATTAGATTTAATAATTAAAAAAAATCAAATGAAACATTAGTATAGCAGATTTTTCTTTTTCATGTAGATTATTAAAAATTAATTGTATTACTCGTTCATAATAATAGTATTATAAAAATGTATATAAAAGCGTCGTGTATAGGCAATTTCAATACGTAAGATATGTAACAGTAACCACTCTGTTTGCGGCGCAAGAATTCTTATGTTGACATAACAAATGGAAAACAAATAAAAAAATGAACATATTGTGAGCGGTAGTTTCGCATAGCTGCATAGGTACAACGCTGAACGAAGATTAAATTTGTTTACTCAAACGATTTATTTTCTAATCAAATCACTAATGTGGCTTTTTGAAGAGAAACTTCTTAACGGAGGATACAACGCCGAAAAGTCATGCTGACGATACGAAATTTCCATGACAACGAATAATAAATACAATATTATAAATCATATCGATGGTGCAATGCAAAAGGGCCATAAGCGACACTTTTTATTAAATCTACTTTTTGTAATTAGGGCATAAGCGACTCATTCTATCGATTGGTCTTACTCATTTATCGATACGATTATTTTGTACGATATAGAAAGAAAATTTAGATTTAGACATAAAGGAATTGGATACCGATATAAAAATATAGTAACGAAGACCAAAAAGCCAGACAACAGTGTGGGGCTTTGGGTGGTTGGATTGTATTTCTGAAAATTGCTATGAAATTGTTGTTTATTCTATTAGTAATCGATCGGGGCATTTCTTCTATCAGTTATTAAAGGTAGGAGTGTTTAAAATTAAAAACTGTTGTTTTTAAACATTTATAATATTTTAGATTTTAGTACTAGAACAAAAAACCCTCGATAGATCACTCATAGACAAATCAAGTAAGTAAGATATTTTTACAGAAATTAAAATCCAAACGTTCAAAAAGTCTTGCAGTTTTGTATAGCTTATAAGCATTATTAATACTTTTGACCAAAAAAAAACAAAATAATTTATATTTGTGTAATGTTTTATTTACATGAATGTGCATGTGTGGGAGCGATCCGCTATTTAGTTTATACACAGTCACTCTCAATAATGATCACTTACTACGCACACATTACACATTTACACGACCGGCATGTACACCCATAGAAAATTGCCTACGTTGAACTCCTTGAAAACACATTTATTATATATTATGAATTGCTAATATATTCTTTAGGCAATAGTTGCGTACATACATTAAAATCGAACATACTTAAGAGGAATAAGGAACCGTATATGGAAATGTGGAAATCATTAATTAAAAAAGTAAACAATTCAATAAACCCAAAGTAAAAACCAAACCAATTTCGAAAGTTGTAGTTCAAAGTTGATATTTCCTACACAAAATCTAAAGCAGATGTTAAGTATATGGCTGGTATGTAATTTAATAAATTTGTGTACTCTAAAATCTAAATATGAATATACCTAGGCATTCGAGTATTGACCAAATTGCGTTTTTTGTTAGCAGAATCAGGGACGTAGCCAGGGGGGGGGTCCATGGGGTCTTAAATTAACTTAACTTTATTATTTTAAAATAACTGAACTTAACGAGTTAAAAAAATCGATTACTTGCCCAGCCTGACTTCTCTGTCAGATCGAAGACAAGCTGTTAATTTAAACTTTTGGAAAAATACTTCTGGCAGATGAGATTGATTCCCCCCCCCTGACCACTGGTTTTCTTTTTTTTAAAAGAATAAATAATTGGTGCCAATATAGACTAATAGTTGTAAATTGTTCACTTCATATATATATTATATTATATATATTTATTTATCTATGCTTGTGTCGTTAGGCTTCGATCAGTTTAGCTACAAAAAATAAAATTTAATAATATATGGTTATAAAATATAAAGTCGGGGCGGTTACATTACACACGTTACGTTGACGCAGTGGCGCCGAAGTTTTTAAAATGTGGTCGGGCAATTTTAAAACTTCCCGGCCTCAATATCTTAATTATTAATTATAGAGGTATCCTAATATAAATTTATTCATAATCACGGTTTAAATTTACTCATGATTATAATAAAGTTATGATGTAAATTAAATATGGCCGGCCGGCCACATTTTTCAAAAAAGAATGGACTTCGGCGCCACTGCGTTGACGTGTTTGACTTTGAGGTAATGTGCTTTCTGCAAGCGTTTCGTCTGGAAATATAATATAGTTCTTCAAAAGTAGACTATAAAAACAGATATCATCTGTGTTATATTATTATAACTTTTAAAGCTAATTAAAAAAATTAAATCGACTAGACTATGTAGGTATAGTATATTATATTTTATAAATTTGTAATAATTCATATTATTATATTGATAAATTTACTATAGAAATACTGGAAAACAATAATTTCATAAAACTTATAAAATCTAAATCTGATTCAAGCAAACTATAATAAGCTGTCGTATATTATATTTTATAGTACCTATACAGTATAATATTATAAATTATAATAAGTAACTTAAAATAAACATAACAATAGTTATTAAATAGTTATTAAATAGTTTAAAAAAATTACATTTAATTTATTAGGTAATCGAATAGGAACAATAAAAAAATATGTGTATTCCTATTTTATTATATTACACATCTTATATAGGTAAAATAATTAAATTTAAATTGTGTAACACACATAATCATAATATTATGCTACACATTAGAACACACAATATACACATAAATAATATATTCTACTAATAATGAGTCAAAAGATTATTACCTACCTACTTAAATCGTACTAAAATTTAATTAAGATTTAAATAGTTTTTCCATTTATACCAAAATTGTAAATAAATTGTGTGTGTGTTTTTTTTTGGAATTGTATACATAAATACATTTTAATTCAAGATAAATTAATAATAATAATAAAAACACATTCAAATATTTTAGATTAATACTAATCTCGTTGATTTTTAGAGATTCTTGACGCACTCGATTGCTTGACATTAAATGTAATATTTTTAATACCTTATTAGTACATTTACATTTTTACATTTAATACTTACACGATAAATACTTTATCAAAATATTCACTGTTTATACACGAATTTTGTCTGGTAAATATAATAATATGACGTGTTTGATAAATTACATTTTTTTTTAACCATATTGCCTAGGTACATAATTGTAAATTTTTAAATAATAGGTACAGTTATATTGTGCTATAAAATAGTTACCTAAGATCTAATATTAAATGTTATTATTAACAAGCGGTCTTGATGATGTCTAAAAATGAAAATCAAATAATATGTAGGTGGGTTCTGACTGTGATTGATTTACGTTTTGTTTCGACAAGAGTTGCAACATGAAATTTTATAATACTTGTAAGAGCACAATCTGGCTTGGGCGACGAAATTACAATTTCTGTGTTGAATGTCAACACACTTGGGATCATCTGTAAACATTTATTAAAAATATTATGAATTTATATGGTATAAGAGTACAATATCATCTCGATTTCAGATATAGAAAAAATAATCTAACCTAGATCCGATGGTTGTTGAGTACTGGTCGATATTGGCTTGTTCTCTCTTTCGATTCGGCTCTCTTCACTTGTTACTTGTGCTGAAAATGGCATTTAATTAAGAATTTAATTTCTATTCATCTGAAATGTATAACTATAGTTAAATATTTGTAGTTAAAAACATTTTTATATGTTTCAACCAAAAGATTATTATTAAAAAAATACGTTGGTGTAATGTATTATATTTTATTATAAATATAAATAAAAAATAATAAATTATATGTAATACACCTACATTAATTTATTAAATAAAATCATTACATTACTCAACTTAAAAACACGTTTTTAATAATAGCAAGTGTTATTGGTTTAGTTTTCTATGAGTAAAAGTAGAAACACACGCCTTGAAATAAAAATTAATATTATCCCGATCTCAAACATAATTGAACGACTGCAGTGATGAGTTGTACCACTATTAGAGACTAGAGTATAAGACATTAGTGGTTGTTTTATTTAACTCGTAATCTAAATTTGTTCATAACTCATCCTCCTAGGTGGATCATTTTTACTATTTATTTTGTAGCTTAAACATCAAACAAAGTACCAAACCCCCAGAATGAATAAAAGTCGTAGAAATAGTCACAGTAGGTCACGGGGTGTTCAAAACCCTGTCCGCACTCCTATATATGGCAATATACGATTATAATGATTATTTAGTTAGGTACCTGAATAACTATTGACGCATTGACTTAAGTTACAAGACCGTCTGGCCGGTGGTTTGTTCGATTCATCACACTCCAATGATGGTTTCAATACTTCATTGAGACACTTGACGTCTCGTTTCTGAACACCCAAGTCGCACGACCTCGAGCACTAAAAGTACAATAATAATAATATATTTTAAGACATCCTCTTTCAGTTCTTCATCGGCAGTCAAATCCGTATAAACTCTACTGTACCGGTAGCCACTCCGAAGTGAACCAATTAGAATCGCAGTTTTCGGTGAAACACGACATGGTCATGGACGGCTTTTCTTTGCCGGAACACTGGCTCTGGGGAACAACTTTCCATTCTCTTTGATCGTAAGACATACAAACCGAAGTTCTTGTTTGATTACCCCAACCACACATTTCAGAACACTAAAAACAAATTTTATTGTTTTAATTTTTTATTACTATGCAATAATAATATTATTATGTCCCAAGAAATTTGTTTTATCATATCAAAAATAAATAATCTATATGTGCGAAAAAAATATACTTATAACAATAGGGCGATTTTTTTAAACTAAAATATTGTCAACAAAAAGTTATAAACAAGAAAAAAATTATTGATTAAATACTGGAATCAAATCATTAAATATTATAATGTTAAAATCTTACTTGCGACCAAGGTCCTGTAAACCAAAGTCCACTACAATCTTTGTCACTCAGGCAAGCTCTGCTCCCCTCTGGTTTTATTGATTGATCACATGCGTTCTCACGATCAATTCCTAACGAACAATAAACCTTTCTAGTTTGAGTACCTGTGCCACATGTTTCTGAACACTGAAATAAATACATAATATTATCAGATACGTATTTAAGATTTATTGTACAATAAATAATATTATATGGCTTACTTATTATAAAATAACATAAAAATAATCTTTTTCAAGCTTTGTTGGCTTAAAAAAAATACGATTTTATAAAAAATATATACATTAAAGTTTCATCATTGGCGGAGACTTTGGGTAATTAAATAACATATAATATATTATATACATGCCTTATGTATATCTCAATAAATTATAAGAGATCACGGATAAACGATGAAATGTATAGGTACAATGTTGTTTTTTGTGTTATATTTTATTAGCTAGTTTTGTTTTTTTTTATTTTTAATAAAATGTTGATGCGATAAATATCGCATATTATGGAAAATACTTTAACATTTATGAATGTTTAAAGTTTAGATTAACGGAAGTAATGCAAGAAAAATTCGAGGAATTTATAATATTCGATGAATTTTAAATAACTTCAACGTTTTCAGAAAAGTATTTTGTATAATGCTTTGAAGTTTAATATTTAAATACAGGTTATAATTCAAAAAAAATACCTATAGTAAAGTTAAAAACTAAAATAACAAAAATAAAAAATGCTTCAATATTTTTTAAAACCAAATATTGATCAAGAAAATGTTAAACGTTACACTAATAATAATTGTTCTATAAATTGAATAAACTAATATACATTATTTTAGTACAATTAAGACTTCGGCAGGTATCTAAGCATTAAAATCATTACGAATGGACACTTAAAAGGATTATTAGTTATTACTTATAAGTTATTTTATCTGTTGTATAATAATATATATCACACATAAGCGTGTACAGACATTTATGACAGGGTACTAGGGTAGTCATACATAACACATTAACACACACATATTATATATCAAATTTTTATTCAAGCGTAAGTTATAAAAACTAATTTGGATGGGGTAGCCTCATTTAACTACATTTACCATGGTAAAAAGTATTTTATAAATAAAAATAAAATGATCGATTATCATAATATAATTGAATATTGAGGGGGGGAAGTTCACAGAATAGTCAAGTGCCTACCATGACTACCCCTTGCGCACACTTATGATATCACATAATGGTAAGGTATAATATTATTTATTTTAGTCTGTATATATTTTTTAAATAGCTTATTATAATAATATTGTGATACCTGAGACCAATCCGATAGAATCCACGAACCAACGGCGTTGGAAAGGGCCATCGCACATGGGCCCATGTCGCAGGTGGTCTGATGCGGTGGTTTCTCGTTGGGCTTGCATTCGGTTTCGTTGGCCGACGAACAGCTAACCGACCTTGACTTGATGCCAGTGCCGCAAGTCGTGGAACACTGAAAAACAAAACCAGCAGATTAGTTCGTCGTATCTCGAGATCACGATATATTATAAACCCGTGCCCGTAGATGTAGAATGATGTGGTATAATAATATTTATATTGTGTATTTCGAAAACGACCATTTCCGAACTGCATTGGCGTATTTACAGAGAGCGCCTAAACCATCCCCCCACCGTGGAGATTGATTCCTCGTCCCTTATTGATCCGAATTTATACCAAACTTCTCAACAATAGTATAAATGTATAATACAGTATTATAGTATATATCGATAAATTCATTTATAGGATGCAGGAGAGTTTAGTTTGAATGCAATGGCAGCCAATTAATATATGTTCTTCGAAGTACTCTTGGCGTACATATTTTAGATGGTCGATATAACGATATGGACGTATATAATTTTAATTATATTATGGTACAATCCTTTGTACGTGATTTGTCTATCAATGAATTCAGCTATTACCCAGAATTTTTCCCACAGAAATTTACTTTAAGGATCAATTATAGATCTCGATCAATAGGCACCTACATTATTAATAACATACTTAAAACTAAAATGTTTGTAATTTCACGTGCAAAAACCATTACTATTAGATACCTACTACCTTGGTTCGTATAAAATATGTTTACATATTATATATTTATATACATATGTTTGAGTAAGTTTAATATTGCCGTTTGCTAAAACCATGATTTTTGTTCTAAACCATGTTAGGTATAATATGTACGTTTTAAGTTCTAACGATCATCATTGTTATAGAACTATAAGTTAGTTTATATTTATTATATACCTATAACTTATAGCCTTAAGACTATAGTATATTGTTATAAAAATATATTTACATTTGTTACGTTTGTTCGTGTACCATTGCAGACCCCTCGTAGTGTTAAATTAAATTAATAGTTAAACAAATCTAAACAGTTTTCTTCAATAACGCGTTAGTCAACAAAACCACAAATCGACCGCCCACCCAGACCTTACACAACTACTCTTAATTCCATGGATATTGAAAAGCACTAGAGTTTGGGGATGTTGTCAAAACACTAACTTTGGACCAAGTGCCAGCTATCCAATGCGAGGTCCCGTCGGATTGGGTGGAATCACAAGGCGGCCTCTGACAGGCTTTGGACAGGATGACGTTGGCTGGCATGGGCGACGGACAAGCCGACTCGTCCACATTCATCGTCAGCGTGGGATTGATTTGCTGCCTGCACGCCATCTCCCGGGTCTGGACTCCCAAGCCGCAACCAACCGAGCAAGGGCTCCAGTCGGTGATCGACCACCTATTATAGGATAATAAAAAGAGTATATAGGTATTATAATATTATTATGTATTATCGTAACATTAAGTATGAAAGTATTCGTAAGTAACTCCATCTCCAAGGTCCTAGTATTATTTTACAGCGTACTTACTGCGCCTCGCATGGTTTCACGTTGCATCTTAGCACCTGGGGTTGTGGTTTCTCCAGTCCGTGGCACCGTTTGTCTGCGACGATTTGCTGCTGCTGATTGTGTTCTTTGATGCACACCATCGTGGACGTCTGATACCCTGCGGAAAATGAGTCAGTCAGCACCGTTAGATATGGGTAATTAGGAATTCAGAGTTCGTCACCTAAAATGGGAACGGGGTAAAGACACAAAATAATCGGTAAAAAAATAATCCTTATACATAAACGATTAGTATAGGTACGTTATATTATGTACCTACGTTTGAATTAATAGTTAAGATTCGTATGCACTATATGCAACACAATATGTTTACTTTATTGTAATATAATTATATTTAGGTGGTTATGTAAAACAGATAAGTGTACTGCAAGCTTATTTCTACAATTGCGTAAATACGGTCACTAACAACAGCAATAAGGAAACCTCCCCTAACCGTCAGCTCAAAATATTGGAATCCCAAATATAGCGGACGGTTTTTTGGAGGACAAACTACAAACTTTCTACAAACCAAACTCTCTGGATAGCGGACACCTCCGAATAGTGAAAAAAATCCAGCGACCGAGTGTCCGGTATTTTGAGCGATTTGGCTGTATTTTGGAAGAGGTATAACTGTATAAGCACTAAGCAGTATAAAATAAAAATAAACCATGAATTATGATTGAAGAAAATTTGTAAATATCTCAAATATAAAAGTGATCAACTATTATAACATAATATATCTATATTTTTTTTATCTATTTTTTTTTTTATTGGTCTTAAGCCCGCAATTGAAGGCCAATTAGCTATTATTGTAGGGGAGTACTGTGTATAGCAAGGATTTGTATCTAAAAACTCGGGTGGTCACCCATCCGGGAACTAGTGACACCGGCCAGTGCTTGCACTCAGAACACGTTTCGTGACTGAATGCAACCACCACGCCACACCTAGCCACTATACATTTATTTGTTTTTACAATATGATAACAATATTATTATAATGTGGATGATAAATTATGATATTATCCGGATCTTTTTGCATTTATTGATGTTATGTAGGTACCACAAAAGTGTCACAATTCATTTAAAATGCTTAAAACGTAGGTATACTTTACAGTAGTATATGGCTACTGGCTACTATAATTAATAAGCAATTCTCGCCAGTTAGTTTTTACACATCCAAACATAAAAACAATACAAACTATTTTTAGGTATAATAGTATATTATATTATACTATATTAACGTTTAAAGGATATACAATATTCGGAACACTATATAGAATTTCATCCATTGTTATTTACGAAGGTTTACGTAAATACTAAATAATATAAATATTAACTTTAATAATACTTGCACTCTGCCTTCATAAGCTAAAGTCACTGAAGTCTGAAGAAAATTAGCGTTTCTATATTTTTATTTTATTAATTATAGTATGGTACATGTTATTTTATGTAAATTTACTTGAGCAATGCAATAAAATAATAATAAATATGGTATAATTTTTTTTTTTAATAACATAATATCTTACTTTTTACTTTGATACTTAGTACCTATTGGTATATAAATAACTATATTAGCTATATAAATAAGAACCTTCGTATTTTAGTCTCAAATAAATTATATATTATAATATTCTACCTATTTAAAGCTGTAGAATTAAAATACAACTGGGTAAGTTGTATATTATGTAGTGTGTTAAACTGTTAAAGATGTTTTCTACACAAACGAGTTATTTCAAATTTTAAATAGAAAATAGTAGGTATCCCTAACAATATGAGTATATGACATAGTTAATACGAATAATTAGATAAGGGGTGTTATAATTAAATTTTATGAAAATTAATGGTTTATTACCTCCGCCACAAGTCTTGGTGCATTCTGAATAGCCGGTCAATTTCCATATAAATTTCTTTTTCCTGCCTTTGTTACGCGGTTTTGCAGCTTCGTCGCCAATGAATCCTTGATACTCCGACGGTGCTCCGTGCGGTTGGTCCTGGTTGAATTTCCTGCGAAATAAAATATTCCTAGCTATACCCACGTCGGTCGTAATATCGCGCAGCGCATTGTTTCGAAATAACCCTATTACAATATTATACATAGTACATAATAATATATATTATATTATGTTATTATAACTTACGTCTTGTCTTCGTTGTCGAGTTCCGACCCTTTATCCGTCGCGTACGCTTCGTCGCCAACCGGCAAATAGTTTCCTGTAACGAACCCGGCCGATGTAAAAAAAAAATATTAATTAAATACACCGAGATAGATAACGTCATGATATTATACTGGAGCAAAAACTAGCCGTTGCGTTCAACGTTACTACTGCCACCCCGCTGCAGGGGGTATTGCATAAAATAGATTCGCTTAAAATACACACGTAAACCGTACAGTTCGTTGTTTTTGATCATTTTTTACGACGTTTTGTGTAATTGTTTAACGATATACTATTTTGGGTTTTAAATAATTAGTAGTTGTCCTATATAATAGTGTCCTACTCGTGGTGTTGGGGTAACCACATTTTGATACCGTTCGTTTTTTGTTATACCCTTAGATCATATTCTATATTATAATATGATCTAAGGTTATACCTACATTATACACAAACATAGAGCGAGCCGACACGACTCTGCAGTAAATCATTGTTATCTATCTCAGCGTGCAGTATAATATTATATAGTATATTGTACAAGTACAATACAGGGCGTTTCGAAATGATTCGCCAGATTTAAATTAATGGCATACTAAAATCGGATGAATAGTATTTTAAATGAAATAACAAAAATTCGCCAACCTGGATAATATGCAGACATGTGCGAATGGTGTCTGATCAACGGCGGCGTGATCGACTCGTCCTGCGCAGGGGCGTCCAGTGGCAGTTTGTATTCGTACTTTATACCGGGATTCGTGTACCTGAACACCAACTGCAAACCAGACAATCGCCAATCACAAGACGGCGTCAAATAATAATCAATAATAATATTATAAACGTGCGAATTATATTGTATAATATGTTGTAATTACAATGAGGTCTACGGACTCTGATAGCGGTCCCGCGGCAAATATGGATTCGCCCAAATTACCGTTTTCTTTCCGATACGTGAATACCGTACCAGCTCCTTCGTAGTCTCCTGGCCAACTATTCGTCCAATTTCCATTCAAAATGTAAAGCCCGACAGTATGTTTCAACGCTGCAATTAGATCGGTACAACGTCAATTATTGCAGCTTGTGTTCGAAAGAACTACACTATTATGATGATATTTAATGCCTAAGTTATACGTATTACAATAATCATAATGAAGCGTGCCATAAACATATAAAACCTAATTTTATTATAATATTATTGTATACGATATAAATGATATAATACATTGCAAAGTATAATATTATTGATCATTGCAGAAATTCCATTCATTCCTAAGACCTAACCTGGAATGAAAATGATTTTGTAAAATAAAAAATGAATAGCTGTACAGTGTACAGATACTTGACATTTTTATCAAATGTTTATATTCGCATTTTTTATACAAGGTATTATTTTCAAAATATTTTAATAATTATAGACATTAACATATACATTTTGAATTTTTTTTCTAAAAATTGTATATTGGTCAAAAAGTTTGAAAATTTAATAAGTAGGTACAATGTTCCTTATCAGTTGTATATTATAACCATAAGCCATTTAAAAATATTTATGAAACATAATTACGATTTTTCTTTATAAGCATTTGTAGTTTAAATATTGGCAAAATTCGTTCAAATTACGAAAGTTTGAAAATTATTTTGTATTTAAAAATCTATTAAATGTTTAATTTTAATAGTTAGCTTATTTAACTACAATGTAATCAAAAAATCTAAATAACAAAGTATTTATTTGTTAGACATTATAAGTTAAAATTTGGCAGAAATTATAGATAGGTATTTAATAAACAATTTTAAGATATTTAAATATTTTGATGTAATTAAAAATATTTTTTTTGTGGGGATTTGAAACGCTTATATGTATATTATTATATTTTATACCTATACACAAAGACTTTTTAAAATTTCAAAATATTTAGATTAATTGTATGCTATTAACTACCTATTTAATACTTATACTACGAACCTATTCCACCGTCCTAGGGTAAGTCTGTATTGACTCAAAAATCAGTATCAATTATCAATAATATGTAATATAAATATTACAAACTAATATATTAATCAAATATTAATAATAAAATAAATGCAATTTTTTTGGTAAAGTTTAATCATCTACCGTATTGTATTACAATAAATATATAAATATCATAAAATAGTATTATAATACGCTAAGAATCGTTTTTCGTATTCAAAGATTTATCATTGAATTAAAATTGAACTCTTCATCCATTATGTAGGTATAATGTAGATATATAGTTTAGTTTTAGTTATTGTTATTAGTATATAATAAGTAATAACCAACATGGCAACATTTGTTGCAATAATAATTTATTAGAATAAATTACTATTTTCATTATGTATATATAGGTATATTTTAGGTACCTATGTTATTAGCAGATGGTTTAAGTTCGCTAATGGTGATATTGCAAGCAGATTTTGGTAATCTGGTAATTAAATTGTATCCTGTTGGCATGTCGGGTCTAGTGAAAATACCAGAAATTAAACGACACGTGCTATTGTCACCACCACATACACCGCAACCGTCAAATCTCTTTAGTGGTCCACCTATTGAACCATCACAACTGACCACCTACAAAAAACACAAATCAATCAATAAAATAATAATTATAAAAATAATCTTCATCACTTGTATTTTATAACAGAAGACAAGTTAAGACATTTGTTTTAAATATTTGTATTTAATGGGGGGGGGAGCATGTTGTATAACACTCACATTTGTACATAACTTTATGAATCTACGCGAATCATGTGCAATGTGCATGAGGCGCGGTTTATACATGTTTATTGTTTTAATGTGTATAAGTACTACTGAGAACACGTTAAATTCCAAAAAGTAATAATGGATATGGATATTCTTTAAAATACATTCCATGATGTCTAATTACTAATACGTAGTGTTATATAGTAATATGTACCTAAATTAAATAGGTATATATATAGTTTTATTCTTTGCCCCAAAACGAATCTAAAATTTATTAAAAATTAAAAACGCCAATAAATTATCCGGGAACTCGAGATCATTATATAATATACTATATAGTATAATAATATCACAACCGACAGTGATCAAACAACATTACGGCCTCGGAGACGAATGGACATTGCACACGTACACGCAGACATAAATAACAATATTAGAAAACAATTATACACACAAACATCGACGACTCGATAAATCCTGAAAAATTACAATATAATAATATTATGTATCGTGGTGCTTTCGTACCTACGCGTCTATTATATTTTATAATCACACGCACGTCGTGGCTGCAAGTATATATTATATATACATAGCGATGCCCGGCACTCTCCGGCTTTAGGTACCTACCAAAGTACCAACCTACCTGTCCACCTGTCTGCCTACCTATAGGTATAATATATATTACCTATGTACCTAATACGCGTGCGCATCACGATGGCGTCGCGGATGCGATTTAGACGTCAACGTTGAAAAATCAATTATCTCAAACGCGCGAGCGGGGTGTATTATGATAATAATAATAATATATTGAGATGTGCTGTGCAGAGATGAGATTCCAATCAACTACCGTTGCGGTTCCAACAGTTTATAATATTATACGACGGCGGCGCTTAGACAACATAAATCACCGGGGGAGCCGCGTTCGCGTGTCCGTGTGCGATAAACATCGTTCGTACACACATCGTATTATTCATCTTAGTACAATAATATCATATCATTTTATTATTATTATTTTTTTTTATTCTATCATTTCTTTTCCCCTTGCACGGATTCCGGGCGATCGGTAATCCGCCGAGTATCGAAATACTTCTCACCGGGACTCTGACCGCGAGTCGATCCGGTATACATACTTATATACGTCATCATGGGTATGATATCGTATTATTATTATCCATCGTGGTATAATATGGTAGGTACTTATACATAGTATATTGGTACCCCGTGCCGGTTCCTGCACGTTGATAAATATTATATAATTAATATTTCCAGTTGTCGTTGGCGCTTGACAATTTACTGCTCAATTAAATATTAAAATAATAATATTGTTGTTGCAGGATTTCACAATATCGTCGGATGGTGCAGTTAATACCATAATTGTATGTAAAATAATAATAATGTAGGTAGGTACACATAATATATTTTTCGCGCGATTTGTTGCCTTTTCAGTATAACATCATTACATCGTTAAAAGAACATGGTTTTTGTGAAAAATGTCAGTTAATACTTTGTTATATAATAATTAATATGGTATTAAATATTAAAACATGACGTGTCTCTAGAAATTAATTAATTTCTACGTATATAATCCATTAAAAAAATATATAATTTATATACATCACAAAAACAAATCAAAACTATCATCCTCTTTCGTGGTTTATGCACATGGTTTTAATTATCGACTAAAATTTAAAACTCATAATTAATAAAAAAACAATGGTATTTTTAATTTGAAAAAATTATTTTTAGAAGAGTAAAAAAGTTTATAATAATAAATGTACATTTTACGGAGAAAATATAAAACGAAGTAAAATAATTAATGAACCATCTGCATTAATTTCAGTATAGTTAAAATTATTGTTTATAAATGAAAAATTAAACATACTTTAAATTAATATATTTCAATACCTATACATGAAAGTATTAACGATCAATAGATTTTCTCAAATCCGACAGTTTAATCTATTTAATGACCTCCATGTTTATGTAATCAAATAAAACTGCTTTGAGTACAAATTTTAAATTAAATCGACAATACCTTGTAATTACGTTTGGATTACTGTTTAATAAGAAGGTAAAAACAAGCGAACACAAAGTGTAGTGTTTTTGCCTAGAGGCTGCCTGACAATATTAAATCTGGTATATGCGTATAGATATAATATAGACATCCATAGAGAAATTTAATTTGAAAATAAATTATTCGAAAACCAATATTCAGTACTTTTGTACAATATACAACCACCAGTAATATATATATTTCTATGACTAGAAAAAAATGTAATCTTTAAAAAGCTGCAGTGTGTAAAAAAATTTGCATTTGAACGTTGACCAGACACGAGCACAATATTTAAATGCCAAATATGATATTCGATCATGTTCATCATTCGATCAGTAATATTTCAATATATTTACAAAAGAATTTATGATTTTCGATTAATTCACAAGGTATACTCAACATAATTAATCCAAAAAATTAATTTCCAATGGAAAATTACATTTGGTGAAATCAATGCGATAATCTGATAATCTTAGTAGCTTTACAAATTAAGGTTTAAAATAAAAAAAAACCACCAATAATCAGCAATAATAATTATGGATTGGATAATTTGCGTTAAAATATACGCGTCATTACATCGTATTAATAGAGTGATAGGGAATGTAGTTCAATGTCATGTTATTTTAAAAATGGCTCCGATATTCGAGATTGAATTACATTTTAGACGATATGTGCCATTATTAAAATTAAAAATATTTATTTTTATTTATTATTATATTGTCCTATCCATTCCTCGGTGACGATTTCCATATTCAAATACCTACCGTCCACAGAATATTATTTTAACCATTTTATTATTGGTATATCGAGACGGACGCAAATGCTCAGTGTACTTATATTTTAAATTTTTAAAAACAAACTAAACAGTATATCGCGCAGTCACGCGTTGCGTACAACGCACGTTCGTGATTCGTCTGACTTCGACGACGCCTTTAAAACTTTAACGACACATTAGCGTAGTGTTGTGTGTTATTATTAGATCGACATAACACTCGGTTATTTCAGCTCTTGGTAAAGTACGTATGGGCGGCCTATTATATTATTATATGAAGTTGTATTATATACTTTAATACGTGCACAATCGTATTGTACCTATCATAACCACCCCGCGCCGGACTGTTAATAAGCGACGGCATCGTGAGACTCGGTGGTTGGAGGACAATCCCTAAAATGTTCGGATACTTAAAAACTTTGTCGGTAATGAGTCGAGTGAAGGGAAAAAAATGACAGTATTAATAACGGCGATAAATATCGCGCGCATTTATGAACGGTCGTGTTTCCTCCTATAATATACTTTACAATCCTTTCCCATTCCAACTTGCCCGTTATATTATCGTACTCTACGGTAGGTAGGTAGGTAGGGGTGGAGACTCATTTGCGCACATATTAATATATTTTTTAAATTTACGACAACTCATTTGCGCACAAAATAGTAAACAATGAAAACCAGCTTTCAGGTACAGTTTTGGGTGTACAGGGTGTCTTAAGCTGTCCAACACGTTACACGTTCAATATTATTGATATCAATGATCACCCCGTTATTGGAGTATCTTCAATATAGCCTTATATAGTCTTAAAGCATAACGTGATTTCACATCAGTTATTATCTATCAAAAATGGCATTAATACTCGCCAAGTACACTAGTCGTGTGGGACAAGCTTTAATCTTTATTATTAATATTATTGCTATATCTTACCCTATTTTCGTTAAATAACATTTTTGTCTATAACATCAGGATACGATGAGACAGAAAGTCCTAAGCCTTTTAAAGGGTGAAGGAAAATGTTGTTTGAGTATAATAATTGTCCACTATCAGTATTGACCAAATCGAAAATATGGTGGTACGGAGATTATGTACACCCTATACGTGGATAAAATTCTTGGAAAAAAGGTTTCTATTGTTCGTAAATTGTGCGCAAATGAGTTATGTTTTTGTGCGCAAATGAGTTGTAAAAAAGGTAAATGTGCGCAAATGAGTTGTAGCCGTAGGTAGGTAGGTAGGTATGATAAATACCCACGAAAAAGGCCGCTTCCATTAGGCACAATGGCAAGAATTTTCGACTAAAACGTCGACTCGCGACATAATTTATACAACTATATGCACCCAATACCCATATTATACCCAAAATATTACAAACAACAGAAGGCATAATAGTTACAATCAAAAATAGTATAATAATACCTACATTATTAGTATTATATATAGACATATAGTCACCGTAAAACATATATTAAACTGTTTTTTGGCCGAGGGTTCGCTGTCGAATTTGACGTCGAAACTGTAGTTACAACGCGAGAATGAGGTGTGGGCATGGGCGGATAGGCCTACCGGGAAACCGGGAATTTCCCGGTGGGCCCCCACTTCGTATTTCGGCAATGGGGCCCTTTTTTTTGGTTAACGAAATTACACATAATATAATACAATTACAATATAAATTTGATATTTTTTGTAAATTAATTTTGATAATTTTTATATTATTATAATCTTATATCTATTACTATTCCGTGGTATTTTACAAAAGATTTCTTATCGCCTATCGGCCTCTCTGCCACCAACTACAATGTCGTTTATCGATTGGCGGCGGGTAGTGGTCACGGTTGTGAGTTGGGACTGTTAAGAGAACGCTACCCATACATTTGTTGTCTCCGTCTTACACACGCACGACATAGCAAATTGTCGCTCACTAGTTTCAATAGTATGCAGTTAGTTTTAATACTAGAGTAAATTGACCTATTATAACATATTTAGATAATAACATTATCTGTGCTTAAGCGTTAGCTTTTATTCGATATTTTAATTTTCAAGCGAGATAT